CGAACGGCATTCGCTAATAGTGTAGCACCGGAATCCTCTTCGGTTGATACTATGGCTATGAGTGTGTCCTCATCAGTGGTAGAATGGTTACTGATAAGTCTGGACAGTGCATCTGCTTGACCAAAATCTTCGGAACGTCGATACTGGATGTCGAAGTCGTACCCCAATAACGCCAACGCCCAACGTTGAAGACGATTAGCAGAATGGGCAGGAATGCCTTTCTTTGATCCAAAGATTGATAACAACGGCTTGTGGTCTGTGAGCAAGGTGAAACGGCGCCCGTAAATGAATTTGTGGAATCGCCGGACAGCAAAAATTAGGGCTAACGCTTCCTTCTCTATCTGGCCGTAGCGTTTCTCAGCAGGTGTTAGTGTTCTCGAAGCGTGCATCACCGCTTTCTCTGACCCGTCGGGAAAGACATGTGAGAGTACGGCACCCAGTCCATGCGTTGAAGCGTCAGCAGCAACCACAATGGGTAGTTTCGGATTGTAGTGGGTTAGCAGAAGATTGGAACTTAGCATAGCTTTAAGTTTTGAAAAGGCTGACTCACATTGCGTTGACCAATTCCAAGTAGCATTCTTTTCTAACAGACGATTTAATGGATATCGTACGTCATGCAGTGATGGAAGAAATGCTGAATAGTAGCTAATCATTCCCAAAAATGATCGGAGTGAGGAGACATCAGTGGGAGCAGGCATTTGTTGGATTGCGTAAGTATTTTGAGGATCAGGGTGTCGTCCGGAAGCATCAAAGATAAATCCCAGGTACTTAACGAAACGTAAGAAGAATTGGCATTTTTCTGGGCGAAGGCGAAAACCATTATCCTGGAGGCGTTGCAGAACTAAGTGGGTTCTGGTATTCAATTCATCAGCAGTTGAGCCGACAATGAGCACATCGTCAAGGTATGTAGCAACACCAGGAACATCTGCCAGAATAGTGTCCATGATCTGCTGGAAGATCGCTGGAGCAGTTTTGATACCAAAGGGTAACCGGGTATATTGAAAAAGTCCTCGGTGAGTGTTGATTGTCAACAACTCTCTGGATTCTAGAGCGACTGGAATTTGAAGGTAAGCATCTGCCAGATCCAGCTTAGCAAAATAGGTACCACCATTTAAAATAGTAAATAAGTCATCTGGGATCGGCAGCGGATAGTGATGCTGCTGTAGAGCTGCGTTGAGTCCTGTGGAAAAGTCTGCACAGATGCGTATGGAACCATTGGATTTTTTTACAACCACAATTGGAGCAGCCCATGATGAATAAGAAACAGGTACTAGGACACCCTCAGTTTCCAAACGTTGAAGTTCAGCGTCAACCAGAGGTAAAGATGCGTATGGGACTGGACGCTTTGGGCGAAAAACTGGCGTAGCTTCTGACTGCAGTTTTAAAACAGCTTCAGTTGTGGTACAAAGTCCGAGACCAGGCTTAAATAGTTCAATAAATCGTTTTCGAAGGTCTTCAGCATGCTGTTGTGTAGAAGCAGTAGTTTGGACTTGATTGCAGATAGCGCTAATAGGAAGATCAGCGAGACCAAGTTCTTCGAACCAATCTAAACCTAAAAGGTTGAGCGGGGAATTGGTGATGTAGCATGTCCCATTGAAGGTTGTACCTCTGAATGAAATGCAGCAATAGAGTTCACCATGAAGGCGGAGATGACCCCCACAGGCACTGACGGCTGTCTGAGAGGATGGTTTGATGGGAGGTTGACCCAAGGTTCGCCAAGTCTTTTTCGACAGAATGGTGATATCTGATGCAGTGTCCAACTGCAAACGAACTGGCTGACCATTGATTGAGAGGGTCAGAAATTTGCGTCGAGTCGCGGCATGAGTATGGAATACTGCTGCTAAACTCCTTGATGAGGTAATCGGCTTTTTGTGAAAACGACGCTGCGTCTGTGCATTTCGACGGTTATTGGATCGGTTGGATTTGCAAAAGCCGCTTTTGTGACCAACTTTCTGACAGCGATCGCACACATGCTGTTTGAATGGACAGAACTTCACGTAATGCCAGGCTCCACAGTGCCAACATGGCGAGGGGGGCTTCTTCTGAGCCGGTTTAGAGTGATTAGAGATAGAAACAGCGCTGGCGTTCGAAGGACTCGAGTTTGTCGATCTCGAAGATTTTTTCTGGTGCTGAACAGCATGAACTTCGGAACCACCCTGGCCCCCAGATTGGACCAAAGTGGTGTCACGCTGCAGATTGATGATACGCTGGTATTCGTCTATGATCGCATTAAGTGTCAGTGTTGGATCTTGTTCAAGGCGGTTAAGCAACCGAGTTCTGATGTCGGAGAATTTGGGTGACTGAAGACTGCATATGAGTATTAGGGACTTGAATTGGTCTTCAGTGAGGGATCTGAGCTTGAACCGTTCGCACTCACGGTTAACAACGCCGACGTGGGTCAGGAAGTCATCGGACTCATTCATGACCAATTTTAAGCAGCGATATCGGGTACTGAAGAGTGATTGATGATCACCAAAAAGTTGGCTAAGGGACTGAATAGTGGCGTCGAATGAACGGTCGCGTGGGTTCTGCGGTAGAATGAAGTTGCAATACTTATCCAGCTCGGATGGACCAAGTTTACGAAGAAGAAGACGCACCTTCCACGAATCATCTTTGTCAGCAAAGTCAACTTTGAAAAGGTCTTCATAACGTCTGAACCAGGTATCAAATGTAATGTTGGCATCAGGATCATAAAGAAATTCTGAAATACCATTGGTAATACCATCAACTGATTCAGGAATCGTCGGTGTAGTTGGGACTCGAGAAGATATGTGCGTCTGAGTAATCATCTCCATCAGCTTCAGCTGCTGTTCGAACAATTTTTCTAATTTGGCTGGATCCATAGTTAATCACCAACTTGTTGCTAAATCTCCGTCGCCAATTTATTGTGAATCGCGAGTTGGCTACTCTAAATTCTACCGATTGACAAGCTTCAGATATCCGAGTTCGACCCCAATACTGTTCCCAATCTCCAATATATCAGAACACGAACCGTAGATGAAAAATCGTTTATGGGGTCAGGAGCAGCAGAATAATGATTTACAAACAAATGCATATTTATACAGTTAGGATTACTATAAATATTGACCAACAGAAAGATGACACGTTAAATAATGTTGACCAATAGGAAAATGACACGCGAAATAAATATTGATCAGTAGGGAAACGACCAATAGGGAAATGACACCATTTAACGTTCAAGGGTAGCGTTAGACTTAACCGGATAATTGTTTTTGGGATATTTTTCTGAGTATCCCAACAGAACTGGAATGATATTTAAAACTCTACTTGTTAGTATTATATCTACCATTTAGTAATTTTAACAATACAACAATGGATTGATATTAGGTGATTAAAACTAAATACTGGAGAATACTCAGTTTAATAACTGTGGTGTGTGCTACTTATATTGACATAAGTAGTATATAATGTTAGTCGTAAACAGAAGGTCGAGCAGCAGAGAGACAAGAGGATCGAACAGTAAAGAATGGAAAGAGGATGCAATTTGTATGAAAATGCAAGAACAATGAAGTCTGAGTCACTTTTAGACAATCGATGGACATTTTTCAAATTAGGCATTTACTTTATGACTGTTAGATTTTATTAACAAGTCCTGTAATTTTGTGTTAAATGCATTTGATTTTCCCCACTGATGTCCTTGTTCACTACAACTGCATTCAAACGTAACTATTATCAAAGTATATTTCCAATTTCTGGATAATACCAAATTTAATTCATCCGCAAAACCTTATAGCTTTCGGTCAAGTAGGATCATATGAAAGGATATAATTGACTAAAAATATTATGAGATTATTATCAATCTCACAAGAAGAAAAAATAACTCATTGTGTCATTGGATAGAAATAAAGAGAATTCAGTGAAGAAAAATTTTTTTTACTTAAGCTGTACATCCGTAGGTATAGCTATATAGGAAATATATGTCCATAGAAAGATAGAAAAAATAGATGGTTTTGTCGAGAAGAAAGTTTTCTTCGCTAAAAAAACAAACAAGCTCGTAAATGAAACACTAAATATAAAATAAAAAAGAAGAAATTAGGGTTATAATATTTGACTAATAAGTTATTTGATTTAATTCAATTTTTCTGAAATTTTGCAATGTTTACATACTTTATTACAAAGAATGAATGGATTAAGCATTAAGAAGATGAGAAATATACTTAGAAAGCAACAAATCACGAACTGACTTTCCATTTGTTCTTGGTACCTTTATTTTGTACACGTATATGACTACTTTAGTAAGTAAACTCAGTACACTCAGGTTTGTTGGTTGGAATGTTACATTACAAGATCGACTTCAAGAGTACGGTTTACCACATTTTAATCAAACTATGATATAATGCGTGTATTTTATTGTTTGAGGAAATGTACTTTAGACTTTGCCATTTCATAATATTTCAGCCTTATTAATATGAGAACTTTGAAAATATCATCATCAATAGTGTGAGCTGTCTGAGAAAGTTTTAATAGTCAGTAATTTTATGGACTGATGTTATTTTTTGGTTTGGATGCCTCCAGTTTTCTCCCAGTCTACGTTTACATCATATAACATGATCTGCCAAGGTAGGAGGTGGTTGAGTTTGCGTAACGATTTAAAGGAGAATAATATATGAATCCAACTATTCCAAAGAAACTGATTTTCGGTCAGACTACTTACCATTCACAACCATAGATTGAAATTATCCCACAGATTCCAAACTGAAATTTCGCAGCTACCAACAGAACTCAAAAAATAGTGAATAATTACATGGAAAGATGAAAAATCTTGCTTAGCTCGCCCCTAAATTGTTTTTTTTTTAAATTACTGATTACTAATTTATTACCATTGGTTGGTTAAGGTAACCGACTATTGATACTGTACTATATTTAGGAGGAAAATTAGTACGTAAAATTGAATTTACGCTCAAACAATTATTCCATAATATTTAAAATTATAGATAAATTAAACGAAATTTGATGAGCAAAATTAGATAATTATTTACCCTTGAATAAATGTTCCATGTACAATACATTTTCTATAACGTGTTTGTTTAGCATAATTCGAATCTAAATGAATTGGATTAATATCACCAGTAAGTTTTGCAAAATCATTCACATCTTGAGCTGTAATTTTTCTAATAAGAGAAATTCGATCACCAATTGAAATAAATCGATTAGATTGTAATATAATCATATGATTTATTTGTTTTATGATTGAAGACGACAAGAAAATCATCTAAAGTAAGAAGAGATGCTTTTAATGAAGATTTATGGGACAGTAGAATATATTATAAAATCATGTAATATGTAGATAGAAATTTTTATAGTTAAGGCCTACCTGATATTAAAATCATTGTAGATCAGATTTTGTGTAAACATACCTCGATTTGAAAATCCAAAGATAACTGATCTAAATGTGACTACGAATCAGTCTTTGTTATCAATCTTGACATATCTGACGAAAATTGAGAAGAAATATCCTATGTCTACACTCATTAAGAAATTACGTTCAAACATATATAGTTGAAATATTCAGTGAAATACAATTATAATCATGGTAAGTTAGTAAAAACAGTTATGATATCTTACTTTAACAGAAGTGTAGGTAAGTTCTGAATTAACATTAAAATACCTCATTATGCCGTAAGTCACCATATAAACTAGTTACTTTGTTGACAATTCACTTTATGATACAATCAGAACGTGAGTTAAGTACTGAATATATGCAAAATTTTGATCGTTCAAAAATATCTTTATCAAAACTCTTATGTTTTGGGATATAATTTACATTACGTTTCGTTGTTAGAATAGATAATTCAACGGAAGTGGATAGAACAAAGCTGATATAAATGCAACTTTGGATGGCATAAGGAAATACCAATGTACATAAATCCATACAAAAAATCAAATACTAAAACACCTGTCTAACTTAACTGATAAGTTTAAAACATTTGTTTTCTTTAACATTAATTCGATACCTGATGTAGGCCAGAAGTGCTAATCAAAAAACAAGATAATAGTCCAACTGAATAAAGAACATAAATCTACATTCGCCGCATCAAAGTGAGGATTTTATAAACCAGTTTTTCTTTTCATTTAGTCATGACTTTACTGTTTAATTACAAAACTACAATTCCGTTGACTGGTTTTGAACAATAGTCATCGCCAGTTTTCATATAGTTGGATATGTTGACGTTATTTACGGTAGGCTGGAGAATGAGTAGACCTTATCTAACTACTGATATTAATAAGAGTAGTTTATATTAATATCTCAAAATGTTTCAACCTTTTACTGCATAGCATCCCGTCCAAACAAAAGGCGAACTAATATAAAATAAAATACAATAATAAATGTCCATAAAGAAATCGTGTGTATAATAAGTGGATACATTAAAAGTTTTTACTAAAATTTTGAACAACAAAATCAAGAGCTAATCAATCTGTTCGATATCAAATTAAGGTACTCAGTAACTCTATTAAACCTATCAGCGAGTTATAATTCGCGAAATTAACATTATGTTATAAATCTATCATTAGATAATATGAAGATATTTCTCAAGTTGTATTTATTCAGGGGACTGTCCATAATATGATACAAATAGTTGTAAAATAATTTCATAGAATGTTTTATTGCATGTTTCTTTCAAATATTGGATCATTTAAATGATGAGGTGATATCTTCAACTTGTAAAATTTGGGAAGTATGGGAGGAAAAGACGAAATAGGCTTTTGAATCTCTGGATAACATTATAATATAAATTGTAATGTCAGATTATTTTTCAAAGGCATCTTTTTAATAAGTAATAACGTAAGAGGATAGTTCATTGAACAATTTGGATATTCAAAATCAAGTTGGTTAGAACTTTTAACCGATCTATACGAGAGGTGTAAATGATCAATAGGTTCCAGTAGGTGGCTTCTTAATATCTCCCTATATTTATTCGACAATAAACATAACGGATATAGAAGTTGGTACATCTAAGTTGATACTTATACTTGGTTGATAAAAGATATTTATCAGGATGAATTCGTACATTAATACAATAGGGTGTTAATAATTAAGCTGGTTCAAAAAAACAAAGTCGCCAAGCCAGCAGCTCAAAGCCAACTTTATAGATTTATTATTTAGGTGGCTGGGTAGTATCAATGGCTCTCATATATAAATTGTCTTACAACAATTGTCCTAACAGTATCTTGTTAATACATTACGCAATTATTCGCTCACATACAACTTGAATACCTATAAATTATTCGTTTTCAACGTCAAATAACACAAAAAATATGCTATTTCCACGCTATATATCAGTATACTTAGATGTTTTCTAGAAAGAGGTATCCGCATAAATTTAAATAGTCACGATAAGTTCGATCTAAAAACAATGTCAAAATTACATAACCTATTAGGTAAGTACTTATTCATCTTCAGTATCATACCTGGACATTCCTATATTTCATGGAATAGATAATATTCTTTAGAAATTTTCTCCAAATCTTTAACACTAACAAATACAACTGTAGTGAGGGTGATAAATCTTTAAAACAAAAAAAGAATTAAACTGACTTTTCTATTTTACTAAAATCAGATATTTCTAAACAGGACACAGAATATATGATATGACTTAAAAATTAATATAACATTGGCTTCGTCACGATGATTTACAATGAAACTTGGTTTCTTGTTTTATTCATCATAAAACATCCAAAGCATATTTACTGATCTATGGATTGATATTTATTTAATTTTTCTCATATTTCATCGACCAATTTCACAAACAACATTCTGTAAGCTTCATATTTTGAGATTATTGGCACTCAATAAAGTGTATCAACAACTAGAGGTGATGTTATGTTAGATATACTTCACGTGGTGATAACTTCGAAACCCTATTCCTGAGTTTTTGAAATTTGTACTGATAATACATACAACTGTATTGATCACTGGGTGATTATCAGTGGCATATTGCTTATTCAGAAAAAAGACTCCTTGTTAATTCTCTACAAATATTTGATATTAGATGAGTTAAAGTTCTATTACATAGTTTAGCCTACTAATCAGATTTTCACTCATTACTCCGTATTAAACATCAATATTCTAATCGCGAATATATTTGCTTCATTATGGAATCACGATAATGTTAGGAATAACTGATTTGTCAAATAACGGTTAAGGAGAAAGCTGACTACAGTAATTACGAGATACAGTATAGCTAACCTTTTATCAATCTTACTCACTATTTGTTTATCCCTATTTTTTTAACATTGAGTCACGAAACGCCAGAAAATTTTCTACTCATTGGGATATTACAAATATATTAATTTATCTATTTCAAAGAAGATTTTCTTTTACTTATTTCAAGGTGGATTTTAAGCAAAAATAAAAACTAATGCATCAAAATGATTTTCTACTGCTAAACAGTATGCCACCTTTACATCAACTTTCATTAGTTATGTTGTGAGGTAGTTACTCACGAAAGACAATGAAGGCGGTCTTGCAATATCGTGGAGTGGTTGGAATTAGACATTAGCACCGTCTGATCCCGGCTCAGTAGTCTATAGTTTAAGCGTCCGCGCACTAGACCTACGATCTTTGGTTCGAGTCCCGTGTGTGGGATCGTGGATGCGCACTTCTGAGGAGTCCAATACTAGGGCGAAACGGTCGTCCTGTGCTTCCAGGTCTTCAATGGTGGTCTGACATTGATCAGTCCATGATCTCAATTATGTTTGATAATTAAATAAATTGAAATCTACTTGTAAGTTGGTTCTAATACGTGTGAATTACCACTCCATAAGAAAGGTTAAAAGGTATTTACAAGTTATTCAACCAACTATTACGTCATTATGCTCTGAGTAGATAGACATGAAGAATAAAAGCGTGAGTACTTGAATGTTCATTATTAATAAATGTGAGAAATTAGTCAAATAACTGAAAACAGAATATTATTTAAAAAATTCTATATTATTATGAATTATTGCAGTGTAAAATGAAATATTTTCATTTATGAGTTCGCGCATATAAATCTGTATTCTGGGAGATAATTTCAAACATCTGACGAAAAAAAACAGAGAACTATAGCGTTTTTCTTCAACTAACTCTATCAATTATACGCTAGAATGAAAGGACACAGTCTAGCACTGACGAAAATAAACAAAAAAGAATAACAAGTGAAATATGAGCAATAAATATACTACAAAACCAAAGTGAATATATGTTCTTTCAACTGTTTCAGAGAAACATATGTGGTGTACAACAGTAGTACACTAAAAGGCGTTATTTGTTAGTACTAAACAATATCATCTCATTATTCTGATTATTTTGTCCCGCCTTAATCCTATTTTAAAATGAAATAGATGAACTTTATCTTCATGTTGTTACATATCAAAAACACAAATACTCATACACACACCAAATACAAGTAAAACGTTGGTGATAAATATGAAAAACAAAAAAATCACGCTGTTAGAACAGGGTACATCACTGTAAGGACAAATAGTTGCAAAAATATGTGTAATAGTACTTTGTTGAAAATAATTTCATTCATTATTCTACAGACAATAAAAGTTTGTTTGTAGATTATAATGACAATGTTAAATGCCAAAATGTTTCATCGACAAAGATTATTGACAGTTTACATCATGAACTGCTCTTAGTTATGCAACCACTGAAAACCATAAAGCATTGAATAGTTGTTTTATTCTAGTATGGAACACCTCAAGAGTGAACATCCATGACCCTACCGCGAAACATGGTGCAAACTATGAAAATTAACAATTTCCACGAACATCTTAAACTAAAAAGTATGTCATTTGTCAAGCGCCAATAGTTATAAACAAGTGAAGATTATCTAGACGACATAAATATCTTTGTCGGCTTTGTTGTAAATGAAGACTGGTTTTCTTTTAAATGTTAACTCTTTCTTATCTCAAGTTTTGAAAGGATTTTCTAAATAATGCTCAATTGTTCATTTATCGGGTTACGTTTCAGTTCACTTTTGGTTTTTAGACTGTTCAATACAACATGTATGCTGAACAGTGTTTTATCATAGCATTAGGTCTAAAAAATTTTATGCGACTTGAGTTTCAACACTTTGATCTCTTTTTCTACATACACGTACACACTTTATCCTATTTGTCGCCAAACATCTGGAAGCACATTTAGATCACTTCTACATAAAGTAGGCGCTAAAATTATTCTCAAGAATAACGATGAAAGATCTACAATTGAACCGTATAGCTCAGAGAACGCAACACCAAAAACAAAGATATTAGGATCAGTAACCGATACACCATATTTTTTAACTGCTACTTAAATTTCGAAAGTTATCTGTGTGCCGAAGCATTTACAAAGACCGACTCACTGGTAGTTGTAATCTTCATAAATATCTCCATACTTATTTTATTTGCATGCACAACCCTCTAGTTAGAAATTAAATATATCGTAGCTATTTCAACGG